TCAAAATTTTCTGCCATTTTAGTACGTATTGACAGAAACTATATGAAGTATTTGAGTCAAAGTATTCAAATACATTTTAAATATCTACTCAAATAGTTAATACTGAATATTGATAGTTTATTTTTCAAACTTTTAATTTAAATAATAATCAATACTATTTTTAAAGAACAAAAGTTTTATATTGCATAAACTTTCTAGTCATCTACCAATTGTAAATATTAAAATAATATATGCATGGCAACTATGAAGAAATTTATAAATAAAAATATTTAATTTATTAATATTATATTACTATAACTACCTATAGTAAAATCTCAAAGCAAAATAAAATATTAAAATCATGTAGATATGTAATCTTAAATAAGTAAAGATATGGTGTTAAATTAATGCATAATATCAATTTATTCTATGTCAATAAAATATATTTTAAATACATTGTTTTTTTAAGAAAATTGGAAAGCACATCTAACGATTACATTATTTAGTCAAGTTTAAGTTAACTTTTTGAAAAATTAAAATATATTTTTTTTTTTGTTGATGAAATGTATAAATCAAGAATTTTATTTTGATGTCGTATAACGTTCTTAAAAAGTTATTTAAAATTTAAAATCCAAAAGTTCTAAATTTATAATAAAATTAAGGGCTATATATAGTATTTATTTTTTTTCATTCGGAAAATAYGAGTTGGAAAAACGCCAAGAGTTCTTTTATGTGTTCACCGTGAACTATGTATTGTATTTTCTCCTTATTGTTCAAACAGTACGGAGGTACTTCATTATATTACATTTTTCCTACTTTAAATAACAAATATATATATCTTATAAACAATGATTACTTTATCAGTTTTGAAGCGGATGCAAAAATATTTTTCTTAATCTTATTTTAAAAAAAAAATAATAATTTTGTTACCTAAAATTTGTTGGGCATGATATACGTTTTTCTAAATAAAACTGAGTAGTATAATCCAACACTACATCATCTATTATCTATTATAGTTAAAATCGAAGGTTTTTTTTTTTAAAATTCATGGTACAGCTTCAACTGTTAAGGTTATTAACTTGTAACAAAATTAGTATTTAGTATTTAGTAAAATATGGTTTTTTCTGGTATCTATATGGATATGGCAGTGGATAAGGAGATGCTTGACTGTGAAAGGTTCTGCGCAGGTTAGGCACATTACAGGTTCTTCTCTGCGCATAAGATGTCCATGGGAAATCGAAGGTTTAATTAACGTGTCTGGGMAATAATATTATAATCTTACACTACTCACCAAAAATAATTTGGCACTGCTGGTAAAACGATTTGAGGCGTTAAAATATCTCAAACACTTGATCCATAAGTCATAACTAATATCGTATCATGTTATTGACTGATTCTGTAGTTACTACATACTATAACTCATGGAAGAAGAATTATTTTGTAGAGAAAAAAATTCAATTTGAAATATGAATAAATGAAATAAATAGAATGTTTTATAAATTTTGTGCATATTGTATATATTATACTGTTTTACAATATTTAAATATAATATTTCGATTCTAAGTGCGCATTTTATAGTGTAATGAAATACATATTATATAGACAATAACATACGTATTACGTACATTTGTTTTGTAGCGTCTAAAACGATTTCAAATAATAATAATTGTTATAAATAAAAAAAAAGTTAAATATTGGTAGTTAAATCTGACATCAGCGCCGGAGCAAGCGTCGGAGCGAGCGGGGCACGTGCCCCAAGCCCCTCGATTTTGAGGCCCCATTAACTACAGTGCTCCCACCTGAATGAAACAAAACAATATATAAAAAATAAAGTTAATTTTCGATCATGAGTCTTAGTATTACCCAATAAACGCTCACGACATATTACCCAAAATACCCAAGTATCACAATAAATTTAAGTATGTATTATGCACCCGCAGTGTCATAGGTACCCGTACATTTTTAACGAGATAAAGTCAATGCAAATTGAGTATAAAAACCATAAAAAATTAYTTTATATTTAAATAATTGAAGTAATATTTGTTATATCAATTATCTATTTAATATGTAATGTTAGTAATCTATATTGATTAATTACATTTATTTAATTTTCCTAATATCTAACTTTTAGG